TGGGTAAGAAAAGAAAGGCTGCCCACCTCTGCCTCCTTCCTTGCACCTGGGAAGGGCTGCCTCTTCACTGTGTACTTAATGGATGGATGACACCCTCAAAGCGAGCTCCCTGGCTAACCTCAACCCACAGGCTCACTTATTCACTGTCCATACTGGGCACGGTGCTGGCTTTTCTGTTCTTTGTTCATTTTCTATAGCTTTTTCTTTGGTGCTTCCTCAGAACACCAATCAGCCTGCAAAGTTCAAAGGTCCTGCTTCCTTTGACAACTTCTTTATTGTTCTGAGCTAGGTCCCAAGGCACTTAGATATGTGTCTCCTTCCACAATGAGAGGTAGGAAAAGGCAGGATCTGAATTCCATCTCCAGTTCTTTCCATAATGAACCTAATTAGTTCATATTCCTATCAGGCTTTGTGCCTTTAAGACTTCTCAGACATGACTGCACACTAGAATCACCTGGGGAGCATTCAAATCCTAATGCCTAGACTGCCCCATACTGACCCAGACATCAGTATATTTTAAAACTTCCCCACTGATTCCACTGTATAGCCAAGTGTGGGGATTTGTGTCTTAAGCTACAACCTGCCATAGCACACACCTGTCGTGCATTAAGTGATCCCCAGAGCAATATTCCCAAATTGCTGATAATAAGAGTCTCCTGGGCTCATAGAAATTCCTGCCTCCCCATCCTAGACCCACTGAATCAAACTCACCAGAAGATGAACCCAGAAACCATACATTTAAATGATGCTCCAGATGGTCCTTACCATTAAAGACCAGGAAACCCCATGCTTGAATTGTATTTTTCAGTGTGTATCTAAAGACACCTGCATCAGAATTGCTGAGAAAAATTTAAATTCTAGGGCTCCTCCCCAACCTATTGAATCAAAGTTCTAGTGCTAAGGGCTCAGGAATTTGCATTTTTCACCAGCATTTTAGATGATTCTTCTGTACTCCTAAGTCTGGGAACCTCTACCCTAGAGATACAGAAAGGCCGAAGCTCCTAGCTTTCCCAGGGCCCAACTTGGCCAACATAGTAGCAGTCATGGGTGAAGACGAAGATGCTGAACCAGATATCCTAAGACGAGTGTTGGTCTTGTTTTTGTTGTTGTTAAGTTTGCATTTATTTGTTCACATTCTTTCTCCTTTGTAACTTAGTGGGGATATGCAAAATAACTGGATCTGGGTGAGCATCAAATTTGACTGGCATATGACATTAATCACTTTAGCCAGATCTCCAACTATCGAATTATAGACCACAGAGACAATAGTAATTTAGCAAGTTAGTTATACATTAATTTAGATCAATACCTAGCATTGAATGCACTCAATGAATACATATGGAATGGTTGCATGGTTAAATGAATGGTTGGATAAATGAGTAAGAGGGTGAATGGAGAATGGAAAGGTAGAAAGGTAGGTAGACAGATGGGTGGGTAGATAGTTAAATGATGAGATGAGTAAATAGATGGGTGGATGCTAGATGAGTAGATGGATGGATTGGAGGAGGGATGGGTGAGCAGGATGGAGAATCTAAGATTTGTTTTCTTTAGAACTGGTCACCCCATTCGCCTTGTTCTTGATCGGGAGGATGATATGTTAATAACCGGGGGAAGACACCCATTATTTGGAAAATATAAAGTGAGTATTAAAGATGAAATTATTAAAGATGAAATTATTAAAATTTTATTTGAACGATTTTATCCTTTTCTGTTATTTTGATTTTGCTAAATTCTAAAAACAAACAATAGTCTTAGCATCTAAAATACTTAATGAGGATACTAGCATATGTGAATACGTATATAATTTATGAGGAACTTTTAATAAATCTAGTGTAGAATTATGAAAAAGTTGGAGGATAAAAATACAATTTTGAAAAATGATAAAAAATGCTATTGAAGGAATAAGAATTTACATTAGTGGTTCCCCCAAAGGCAAAAACAAAAAAAAAAAAAAAAAACCACTAAAAGAAGCTACAGACATTGTTATACCAAAACTTCATTTTTACAAGTGTTGCCGCTAAGTGATATGAAAGTGTCACAAAAGTTCTTTGCAAATAGAAAAAAATAATAATCCCCTAACAAGTGAATGTGGTGTTTCAAACCACATTCCTTGCATTTTTATGCAACTATAGCATAAACACTATTAAAAATATTTGTTGACATCTAGTTGATAACAATACTACTTTCAAATCTATGACTGAGTTGTTGGGATAGTTCTAATATAATGTTTCCCTGTCAAATATGCTTTATTTGGGAATTGCTTATTGCATACATATAGCTAGATTTTCTATCTGATTTTTCACTGCCTTAGATTACCGAATTGTTATATTCCCTGTATTACTAAACTCACAGCTTTCCAGACCACAGCACAATTTTATTTCTTCCATTGGCATTAGTAATTTTTATCATTAGAGAGAAACGAACCATAGTTGGCCACTAAACTTTTTATTTGCTTTCAAATGCACAGAAATTAATACTAAGATATATTATTTTCTTCTAGTACCAAGAGCAATGTAGAGGCAGCTCTGGGATTGTGGCATTTGGTGTTGTGGTGGTTCTTGAGTTCTTTGGTTTTGGCCTAGATTATAAATCAGGCTTTATTTATATTATTGTCATGAGATTGTTTAGTACTAGTACTTACTAAAAAGGTCCTAAATGTAAATATTTTGGTAGTTATAATAATATAAAATATAATTTAAAAGAGTGATATAATCAGACTTTTTTAATCCAAGTTTTATTTTATTAAAAATACATAAGTTTACTTCCAATATAATAATATTATGTCTATATGTATGTATACATCATTATTCAAACTTAGCTAACAAACTTTTGCTTGGTTATTTAGAACTATTTGTAAATTAGCATAGTAGAAGTTTATGTGTGAATAGGTTCTTTCGAAATTCTTGAAACATTTATATTAAACAGTTTAAGAATTCTCTCTGCTACCATTGCTTAGCAATCTTTTCTTCATGAAAAGTCAAAGATAAACTTCAGCCTAGCATTTGTCAAAATTACCATAAATTCTGAATTTGTAGATTTTCCTACATGTCCTAACTGCTCTGGTTTATTATCCAACATTTCCCTTGGAGTAGATGACAATAATCATATAGCTGGATGGTTCCATCCGTTGTACTTATCTCCATTTTCAGAAAGGCAAAGGGACCAGAGCCAATCCTTTTTTGGTAGAACTACAACAGAAAGTGTGAATTTTTCTTTTCCATCTGGACTATACAGACAAACCGGTCTAGGTGGGTGGGAGGGGCGTGGCAACTTCAGGAAAATATAAGGTGCCTTCTGTGAGCCCCAGTAAGAATAGCAGCACTAACTCACACTTGTTAAATCTGTAACCAGTGGCAAAGCACTTCACCAGCTCAGTACAAAGAGAGTCGTCACTCCATCACTCTGTCACTCCTGGGTCCATTCCCCTACCTCAGCTTCTGAGGCTTTCCTGTAACAAGATGCACTGCGATTCATTCCAATACATGCTAGAAATTCTAGAGACTTTTCCACGGGGGGCAAACCACAAACTAAACTAGAAAGACCAGTAAAAAGTGAAGGAAAACCTTTCCAGAATAAGAAAGAAGAGGATAGCAATTTTATGTGGGGAGATAAGCAAGAGCTTTAGAATTCTGTACTGACTATGAAGCCAGAAAATTACACATTGAAAGGAAAGGGCTCAGCAAAATTCAGGTCCGAGGAGGTCTATGTCAGCCAAACACTGTAAAACAAGGGAATAGCCAAGTGTGGGACACCACCAAGCAAACAGGAGCAGAGTCTGTCTGAAGTCCCCCTAATAGTGGAGCTGAGCTGTAGTTGCAACTTTGGCATGTAAATTTTAAACACATCATAAAATGTCCATCATTTAATGACAGGTGGGATTCATGAATAACGGGCGAATCAAAGCTCTAGACATCGAGTGCTTCATTAACGGAGGATGCACACTGGACGATTCGGAGCAGGTACGTCCTTGATCGCAAATAGAAATGCAGAATTTCTAGACAAGTCTTCATTGGACAGCATGTGTCCTCAAGTACTTACCAAGTTCCACAAACAGTTCAACTCAGTATGTGACTTTTAGAGAAAAGGGGGAAAAAAAGTGTCCAATATATGTGAATATCTCCTTTTACTTTAGGTTATAGAATTTCTTGTACTAAAGCTGGAAAACGCGTATAAAATCCGTAACCTCAGGTTCCGGGGCCGTGCATGCATGACAAATTTACCGTCCAATACAGCCTTTCGAGGATTTGGCTTCCCACAAGGAACCCTGGTGACAGAATCTTGCATCACAGCTGTGGCAGCCAAATGTGGCCTTCTGCCAGAAAAGGTAGGATTGTAATCAAGGTCTCAACCAAGGTTGCTGAAGGATCAGACCAGGTGGGGAAAAACTACTCTGGGAAAAACCCTCAAGGAATCACTCAGATTAGCCCTGGCTCAGAATTCAAGATAAACTCAGTACTACCTAAAAGAACTAGGCTCCCTCCCCTATCTTCCACCCTCCTTGTGCAAAGATTTCTCTTTGTCTTTCTTTCTTCTTTTAATTTCTACACAAACAATTACTCTTTTTAAAATTCAAACCCATCTATGGCCATGCCACCCTGAACAAGTCCGATCCCATGTGATCTCAGAAGCTAAGCAGGGTCGGGCCTGGTTAGTACTTGGATGGGAGACCACCTAGGAAGACCAGGTGCTGTAGGCCTAAAACATAAGAGATTGTACGCTGACAAGGTCTTTGCAATCTGTGAGGTCAACCAAGGGTTGCCTCGCCTAAAATAAATAAATAAATAAAAATAAAAATAAAATTCAAACCCCACTGAAGTAACTAAAGTGGAAAGTGAATGTCCCATTTTTTATCCCCTCATCCCTATTGTTTGAAAGTAACCATTGTTAACAGTTTCGCATTTATTTTTCTAACCCTTTAACTATGTGTGTCTACCCATCTGTATTCATGCACACATACATAAACATTGATGTCTGTTTCTATGTGCATGTATATGGTTATTTACCAAAACAGAACCATAATAAACACATTATTCTGCACCTTACTTTTCCTACTTGACCATAGGTCATGGCCATCTTCCTGCGTCAATAGCATAATCTATTTCATTCTCTTTCATGACTTAATAGTATTATGTAATATGGATGCATTGTAATTTATTTAGCAACTCCATTACTGATACACATTCAGGTTGTTACCCATTTTGGTCTATTAAAATGATGGTGCAATAAACATCTTGGTACAGATGTACCAAGGGTTTATCTTTGCACTAGTGTGTTATCTTTAGGATAAATTTACAGAGTGGAATTGCTGATGTAGTTGAAAACTTTTGAGAGATACTGCCAAAAGAATGCCCTCCAAAAATATTATTTTGTGCAATATTTTAGAAGGTCCGCAGTATGCTAGGCCAGAGAGAGGCAGCCTCTGGCAACTGAGATAATTGCTGATAACACCTTTCCGTTCCTCATATATTCCAATCAGACCCCAGCCTACTTTTTATACTTCTATCCCATTTCTTCAATATAGACCCTCTACTCCAGCCAGGACTTTCAATGTATTGTCCTTTGAATGTCTTTGTCCCTAAATTAATCAGGGATTTGTGATGGTCAGGATACTCCCTACACAAAAAGAAACATCGAAACACAGAACAAGGAAGACAATAGTTATCCTAAGAGAAGTCACATCAAGTGTTCTATGGGTACAAGGAAAAAGACATCACATTAGCTTGGCGGGAGGGAAGTCAGGAAGAACTTTCTGAAGAAGATGGCACTTGAGATAGGCCTTAAAGAATAACAGGCCCAGATAATGGCAGGGTGATCAAGGCAAGTGGAACAGCTTGAACAAGGAAAGGCAAACTCTTTCTGGCTCAGTTTCTTTATCTATAAAATGAGGACAAGATGACTCGCTTCACAAATTCTTGCAAGAATCGAATGAGTTAGCATTTGTTAAAATATTTGTTTTCATAAACTGGATAGTATTATTCCAGTGTTGCTGCTGATAATAATAATTATTTTATTTGTGGTTAGAGTGAGATGGGGATAATGAAAAACTCCTGAGCATATCCCAGTGGATTCTTCTTCGTCAAAAGTTGCAGGCTTCCAGGAAATGACACACCCATAATCAAATACATTTTTAAAAAGATTTGTCCACACATTCCAAAGGCAACTGGAAGGCTTAGAGAAGATTTGCTGTTTGCATTAGCTGCAATGCTATTCCTCTCTAGCAGAACAAATCTTCAGTTATGACAATAAAACTTTGCTTTTATATACCATCTATCAACTCTGCTCCATCTATGAACCTTGTGGGGGAAAAGGAGACTCTACCTCCTTAGGCTTTTCCATCTCATTGCTCTTCACAGACCAGTCACTACCACTGTTCTCCACTTCCAGGAAGGAGAGACCCTGACTGGTGCTTTGAAGAAAGATGAGAAATAACCTCTGTTGTTTTTGCAAAAGCACATGCTTTCCAAAGAAAAAGAAAAAAGACCCTGTCTTTTCTCCATCAAAGTTTGTGCTTTAATGGGGAAGCTTGTCAGGTCTCTACTTTGCAGTCAGTTTCTTTCGTACCATAACTATTGATCAATTTTCCATCCATTTCAGATCAGGGAGAAAAACATGTACAAAACTGTTGATAAAACCATCTACAAACAAGCATTCAACCCTGAGACCCTGATAAGATGTTGGAACGAATGTCTGGACAAATCTGCCTTTCACAGCAGAAGAATACAAGTGGAAGAGTTTAATAAAAAGAATTACTGGAAGAAGAAAGGCATTGCTATTATCCCCATGAAGTTTTCAGTCGGCTTTGCCGCTACAAGCTATCATCAGGTAAGGTCCTATATGAGAGAAATAACCTTGACTTTGGGAGAGTGTCACATTTCCCAGGGCACTGAGCCCCTCTACCACCACTACTCATAGCCCCTGGGTGAAATGTACAGAACTCTCCTGAGCAGCCCCTGCATCTGCAAGCACTTTCAACACAGTGCAGTAGAAAAATGCCTCAATGACAGAAAACATGAGCAGCAAACCTAAGACCTGCAGCAGCGTAACTGCCAAGATGGAGCACTAACCTCGCCCCAACTCTGAATTCCCTATTCAAAAAAGGAACAGGAGCCCACAAGGCCTGTAGTACTGTGCTTTCTGAGCTCAAGGGACTCATGGCTTGAGGGCTGCTCCTGGTCTGTGCCCTAGACCCCATGACAACACTCCTCAGTACACCCTAAGTCTTAGGCAGAGAAGTCTTTCTGTTTTGCCCTGACCAGCTGGCTGTTTCAAGCCACATCTCTCAGGAATCTGTGTCAATCCTGATGGGGAAATGGTGGAGGGCCAAGAATCCTCCCAGATAGGTTTGCAAAGGAAGAGGAAAGTCATTCACAGGTCCTATCCAGATGGGAGGAGGGAGGGCGGCATAAAGATGAGTCCATTGAATAGCACAAAGACTGATACAGACGTGTCTTCCCAGGAAACCCAATGGGTCATACACAAGAAAGTTGTTTAGAAAACTGAAAAAAGTTGTTGCCTCCCCATGATTTTCCAACAAAAGCAGAAACTCAGCAACTGAAAAAATCTTTTAACATGCATTAGATCTAAATCTAAATCTAAAATCTAAATCCAAAAATGCATTAGATCGCCCTTGTGTGTATACCATTGAAAGCATTCTTCCAATTATACCCAACTACTGGCAGCCAATAGACACACACACACACACACACACACACACACACACACACACACACACACGTACACATGCACACACACGCACACACGCATGCACGCACGCACGCACACACCACAAAAGGTGCCCTGTCAAAAGAAATCTTTCTTAGGGAATGAAACAGTTGTCCTAAATCTCTAATCAACTGGAGTCACTTGGCCCTGCCACTTCCTAGCTGTGTGATATTAAATAAGTTATTTAACCTCTCAGAGCCTCAGCTTCCTTAATTATAAAATGAGAATAATCATCCTCTCTCTCAGGACTGAAGAGGATTCATGAGAAAATGACTGTTAAGCACTTGGCAGGCTTCCTGGAACACCATGTAGTTATCCAGGGCAGCCCATCCCCCGCCCCAGGAGCTGTCAGACACATCTCTCAGGGCTGTGGCTCCCCTGGCCTGGAAGATGAGGCTCCCTGACTCCTGGGTCACACTCCTGTTCAGGTCCAACGTGCCCATTTTATAGAGGTGCAAAAAAGTTCATTGTCACGTCTACAAGCTAGATTGAATCAACAGCTAGGGCATAAGAGATCCTGGATAGATGTCTGTGTGGTCTTTCCTCTGACACCAAATGTGTCTTTTCTAAACCAGTTCTGTAGTTCTCCAACACAAACTGGGTAACCAACAATTCAGCTCAATTCTGACATTAACTACTTAGAGTTAGCACAGACCCCACATGTCGAGGGCTGAGTCCCACACGACTGCCCCAATTTCAGATGCCAACATAAATTGGGTGTCCAGGCTACCCGTACTTCTGCCCAACTGACTACAAATTTGGGAGTTTCCACTACTCATCCTCTCAGGTTTGAATATTCCCTAGAACTCACAGAACTCAGGAAAACACTTTATCAGTTTATTATAAAGAGTATAACAGAACAGCCGTATGGAAGAGATTCATAAGGGAAAGTATGGGGGTGTAGGGCTGTCATGCCCCTCTCTCTCTAGGTGTGCTGCTCTCCACCTTGTGGATGTGTTCACTACCCCCAGAAGCTCCCAAAACCTTGTTTGGGGGGTTTTATGGAAATTTCATTACATAAGTGCAATTGATTAAATCATTGGCCACTGGTGATTGAAATCAATCTCCAGTCCCTAACACCTCCCTGGAGGTCAGAGAGTGGAGCTAAAAGCTATGATTCTCTAACCAGTGGTTGATCTTTGTAGTAACTCCCAACCCCACCCTCCACCCCACCTCACCCCAATCTAAGTAAGTTTCTCCCACGGTCATCTCATTAGTGTACAAAAGTCGGTAAATTTCAAGGGTTTTAGGAACTCTGTGCTAAAAACCAGAGGCAAAGACCACATATTTATTTTTTATTGTACCACACCTCCCCTCACCTGTATGGCTGCTGCTCACCTAAACTATAGCCTACTTCCTACTAACTTCTCTTTTCACCACAAAAAAAACCTTTAAATCAAGCAATGACTTTAAGTCTCCATTTGAAAGGCCTCCAGCTTCCCCACAGAGTTCCAAATTGATGTTCTCAAGAATCACCAGGCTAAGAACTGAAGCCTGTTATTCCAGGTCAGCTGATGACTCACAAAGCTGGAACACCTACTCCCTAAACTAGGTATAGGAGCACTGTCCTCAGAGGGAGTCAAAAGTCCCACAGTGAATAAATACTATTATTAACACCTATAAGCCCTGATGGCCAGGACCCTCTCCAAGCCATCCTGGGCCTCCAGGCATCTCTGGACAGAATAGACTGAAGTCCTAATTCTTCCTCCTCCTCCTGGAAGAAAAAATACCACATTTCCATTTGTCCAGTTTAACAAACCTTTATTTAGTGTCTCTATGATTCAGCCCTGCTCAAAGTTCTCTTCAGGACACAAAGATGAATGAGGCCAGGTGCTTGTCTTCCAAGAGACTCTTACAGAAGAACTTATCACTCCCTACATTTATTTCCTGTGGCTGCTGTAACAAAGAACCACAAACTGAGTGGCTTAAAACAACAAATTTATTCTTTCACAGTTCTGGAAGCTGGAAGTTCAAAATCAGGGTCTCAGAAGGGCCATGGTCCTTCAGAAGGCTCCAGGGAAGAATTTTTCCTTGCTTTTTCCAGCTCTTGGTGGCTACTGGTATTCTTTGGCTTGTGGCAACATAACTCCCGTCTCTGCCTCTATCTTCACATGGCCTCTTATAAAGCCAATGATCATTGAATTTAGGGCCCACCCTAATCCAGTATGACCTCATCTTAATTAATTACATTTGCAAATAAGGTTACATTCTGAGGTTCCAGGTGGACAGGGATTTGGTGAGGGGACACCATTCAACCCAGTATACTCCTTTAAGAGTAAGTGCAGAGAAGGGGGTCACTGATCCTTCCCAGAGGGGAAAGAGAAGTGTTCAGGAAGCTTTAACAAGAGTAGAGACCATGAGGTGTGGGTCTGAAGGCTGAGGAGCGGGCCAGGAAGAGAGAACAGCATCAGCAAGAGCACAGGTCAGACAGGAGCACGGGTAAGGCCAGACATAGAAACAAAGCAGGAAAAGACAGGGATGAAACTGGAAGAGGACAAGAGGCCAAACCCTACAGGGCCTCATACTATAAAAGAGAGCAGGGCTCTCCCTTCAGAAACTCCCTTACAGGAAGTAGGGGAGTTTCTGCCCACCTCGCCCAGAGGCAAACCCTTCTTGCCTTCACAATTCCATTCAGTCGTCACTTTGGGGACCCTTCCCTCAACTCACAGAAGCAGTCAGATCTGCCCTCCCAGGTCCCCAGGGCCCCTCGTGCCACACCCCTTTATTTCACAAGTCATCCTGAATTCTAATGACTTGCTTTCCAGCCTGGCCCGGCCTGCACTGCGAGCTACTTGAAGAAGAAGCACATCTTGTTCATCTTTATATATCTAGAGCTGAGCCCAGGTTGGCACATAACACGTGCAAGTACTTAAAAATGTTTAATTCGCTAGTTGAGGGGTTTGCCAGAGATTTTAAGCAGGGGAAGACTTTCAAGTCATTGGAACCAATACTCACAACTCCTGAGTATCCAAAGGAACTCCTACTAAAACCAGGTTCCTAAGTAAGAATGTTCTTTACAGATAAACTTTTTACAAAACAGAACTAAGCCCCAGAATCCTACCAGGAAAGCTTGTCTCTCCGACCCACCCTGCTCTGTGAAACTGGTGTTTTATGACCTCATTTCCTATACTGAATCTCACTAAACATGCACTGAGCTGTGCCTTCTGGCTTGTTTTACTAGGCAGCTGCACTCGTTCATATCTACACAGACGGGTCTGTATTGGTCACACATGGAGGCAATGAACTGGGACAAGGTATTCACACCAAAATGCTACAGGTAAGACAAATAAAATTGCCATTAATCTCTCCATACATTCTTGACATGACTGACATTTGGCACTAATTTTAGGGTAAATAACAACTCCCTGTGCTGAAACCCTAATATCTTGACTATTTAGTTAGAAAAAATTTTACATATCAAATAGAATAGCAGAAATTGCACACATATGCGAATACTCTTAGAACTTGGCCGGTGGTTGTTAGTGAAAATACCAGTTATGAGCCCCTGGAGCACTGTGGTGGTTGTGCCATGCAAGCTTACCTAGAGTAGGAGTTTCTCAACTTTTCTATTTTGAGACCAGTATGTATAATTTTAAATGTTGGACAACAATATTAGGTTGCTAATATATTGTTTTAACTAGTAAGGACAAGTATTTCATCAACTGCAATTGTCCTATAATTTTTAAAGGATATTTTAACATATATACATGCACACACAATGTAGGAAGATCTATAATCCAAGCGGTAAAAATAGTAATCCTTTAAGTTGAACAAATTTAACTTTCTGACTAATTTGCTGGGTTGTTATAGCGCACATCTGCAGCCTTTGATTATCCAGCCCCTCAGCTCCTTTGGACTACAACTCCCACATTCCCCATAGTTCTGGAGAACTCCTCAATTCTCATACCTTTTAGCCCCATCCCCCTCCTTGCCCCAACTCCTGCCACAGATATAGGCATATGACCCAGGTCTGGCCAGTTATGGTTCCTGAATCCCGCTGGATGCAGGGACTGGTCTGGGAAGAAGGCACATGACCAAGTAAGGCCAATCAGAGTCCTTTCCTGGGATTGATGTGTAGATCTTGGGAGAAAGGAACTATTATTCCCCTGTGGTTATTTAGCTACTACACTAGAAGCCAGGAGTTGTCAGAGACAATTCTCCTGTGCCATGAGAAAGTCTGTCTACTGTTGGAAATAACATGACCATCATAAAGAAAAGCAAATGTGAGAGGCTCTGAGAGGACACTGATGAGACCATAAGGCCCCAAATACAGACATACATGACACCAGTTCCATCTGTCCTTCCCAGTTATGTGAACCAATAAATTCCCTTTGGATTTTCATCACCGAGAACCAATAATTTTTTTTTTTTCATTTTGCATCTTTCTGGGGAATTTTAATCATTGAATGGCCTTAGTCTGAAGATTGGCATTTGGGAATCTGCAGACATCTGGAGAAAGTGTTTTTGGAAAGAAAAGACAACATCAGCCAAAATAATGCTTTTTTATTTTCCTTCCTTACCTCCTTTTCTTTTTATTTCATTTCTTCTTGATTAAAAGTCTTCATGTCCACATGCATCTGCTAAAGAAACTGGAAGGAAAAAAACAGCAAAGAAAAAAGAATGAACAGCAAATACTAGAGGAATATAAGAAAAGGGAGAGGAAGCTCAAGTTAAGGTGGGGGTGAGGGCAAGAAGACAGGCCCTCAGGGTCAATCTATGTTTTTCTGATACTGATACCAAGAGATTTAAAACCGAACTCTGAGTCAGTCAGTCCAGACTCTGGCTCTCTTCCTGCCACTGCCACAAAATAAATCTGAATAATCTCAACTTGGCCTACTCTCTACACATGTAAAATTTAGAAAAAAGGAAATCCTTAACATCCTAAATACACTAAATTTGAATGAAAGAACCACTGTGGAATATTACTAAGAAAACACTTTAAAAATTAGCATAAGGCTCTCCTAAAAAGTGGTTTTAATTTTTATAAGACACATTATTTTAGACTTTAAAGGATATCCTGACCATAATAAAAATAGTAATTTTGTTATTAAGAAAAACAATGACTCAAATCTTCATAGAACTCTGCTGAACTTGAAAATATTTATTCTTCTTATAGGTGGCCAGCCGTGAATTAAAAATACCCATGTCTTATGTGCACATCTGCGAAACAAGTACAGCCATGGTGCCTAATACAATTGCTACAGCAGCATCCATAGGTTCAGATGTCAACGGCAGAGCCGTGCAGGTGCCTCCTTCTGTCTCTTTCCTTGGGTACTTTTACCACATCCCTGGTTTTCTTAGCTGGATACAGACACAAATGGTTGGCTTCAGAGAAGTCATCTGTGTCACTAAACAGGCTTGGGATAACCAAAATGTCGAGAGTGTGTGTTAGTTGAAGTATGCTAACTGAGGTGACAAATATACCTAGAACATAATGGCTGAAACACAACAAAAGTCCTTTTCTTGTACATATAACCATCCAGAGTGAGTGTGTGGTCAATCAAGCACCCAGATTGATGGCAATTCCTCTGTCTTCAACATGTGGCTTTCAAGGTTGACCTGAGTGTCATCATTCCGGTGACCTGGAGAAGGGAGGGAATGTGGAGGCCAGACCTGGAAGTGATGCAAGTCACTTCTACATATCACCCATTAGGAGAACCAGTCTCAGGCCACAGCTAACTACAGGGGAGTTTGGGAAAATGTAGACTGGTAGGAAACTATATGCCTAACAACTATGGAAGAGGAGACTGAATTTTTGTGCATAGGCAGTCTCTGTCCCTGGGAGATGTGGAAAGAAGAAATTTGAGTACCAAGTAATACAGAATTATGCAAGTTTTCCCTGACACAAACAAGTTCCTGCAAGCAGGTCAGCAGACAGAGCCACAGCCAGGTAGATATAGTGCAGTTAAGTGTCTACATCAGTGGAGTTCTACCAGAGTACTCATTCTTTTTTTTTTGTACTTATTTTCTAACCGATATTAAAAAAAAGAAAAAAAAAAAACCTGACAAATTTTTACTTTTTCAGAATAGAACCATGACTTCATAGTCCTTAATTCAAATATCCGATTGCATGTACTTTTGAAGTAATATCTATTTGTCATGCATCTGTTATAAACTCTACATTTTTTCCATTGGGACATTGTGGGGGAGCATATTCCCTCACTCCCAGAACACTGCACTTAAGCTACCAAGAGGAACCACCTTCAAATCCATCTTATCTTTGTGCAGACACCCCTTAGGGGCTCAAAAACCAGAAATACCTTTCACTCAAAACAAATGTGTGGAAAATCTCAAATTCATGAGATCCAACTTTGGGTAGAATCAAACACAAGTTAAGAATAGCTCAGTGTGTATGGAAGTTGTCAGCCCAAACTAAGCATTAATCCATCTTCTGGGACATTGAGTTTTACGTTTCTGTTTTGAGTATCAAAAACTTTGTAGATCTAGGTTATTAAAAAACAAAGTTAATTATATTCTCACTTCATGCTCAAGCAAAGGCCATCATTGTGTTACCGTTGCAGCAATCAGAGTTTTGGTAACACACAGGTCTTGGTCCCTATCACTGATGAAAAAATAAATTTTTACTCTATGACAATTATGAGAAGTATTATTTATTAAAGGCACGTTTTGAGGTAGGAGACAGGTCAAGCCTAAAACTGGCTAACCACGTGGAAATGAAGACACAAACCCACTGGGGGAACGGGTTACAGCCAGGGAGGAGAGAGAGCTGTAGCAATGCAGAAGTGGGAAGGTCTGTATTATATAGAGGCCACAGTGGGTGGTTACAAAGGCATTCCTAGGTGATTGGCATGATTGATTGACACTTGACTGTTATATAACTCTTTGTCTAGTAAGCATATGCTTACCCAGAATTCGGTCTGTTATAATTAGATTCATGAACTTCCGAGTATAAACGTGATATTATAATGATAGTATAATGAGACTGAGATTGTGGGCAGGTTAGGGTAGTACCTTCTGCACACGCATCTGTGGCCAGATTAAACCAGCTATAGGTTTATGGCCTTCCTGTCCTTTGTCTCCCAGGACAGGAGGGATTCTCAAACTACCAGTAGGCTGTTATTGGGGCGCCTCTGTGCTGGGACTCCATTCCTTTGTTCCTCTGTCGCTCATGTCTGACTAGCTACCTAACAATTGCAGTAGTTTGATGGTAGACAGAGGGATGGACAGAGAGTCGAATAACATTTCAGATCCAGAAGGGTAGTGGCATGTCATTGTTGCAGATTGGAAAACACAAATTTGAATGAAAATAAGATGTTTTGTTCTATTTATTTTAACAGCTGGAAAATACAAAAGAAGATATAAGTCAAAAATGTAGAAAAAGAGAAGAAGAAGATATTAAGAACATGAATATTTTTAGAAAGGGGAACTGAGAATAGAAATTCATCTTAGCCTATATTTTCACAGGAAGTGAACTAGGAAGGGAGAAAATCCTCCAGTAACATACTCTTCTCAAGGTCAGGGGTTGTGTTGTTATGGTCTCTGTGTTCCCAGTGTGTCAGTATCAGCCACTGCATAAGCATTCATGGACCTAATCAGTTATAAATAAATACTTTTCTTAACAAATCCTAACCACTGAGTTCTTCTCTAATGGAGATTCACATCTTTACTCTTTTAAGAATGCTTGTCAGATCCTTCTGAAACGCCTTGAGCCCATCATTAAGAAAAATCCAGATGGTACATGGGAGGACTGGGTAAGTGTTCCATTTTTTTTTGTTACTACAAATGAGAAAACCCCCCAACCCAGTGCTGAGAGCACCACGGCCATGCACAGCCGCGCCCTGTAGAGACAGGTCAAGAGTGAATTTTTTTGCCAAAGGGCAAGATCACCAAAAGTTGAGACTGCTTCCTGATGTATACTAGGTATGTATTGGAGAGAGCACACATGGAACAGCATCACTAAGAGGTGAAATGGAAACGCATAAAGAATACCCAGAAGGCCTTACCCACCCTGCAAAGAGGAAAAGACTGAGACTTCCTGAGCCACAAAAAAATATTGAAGTTCAAGTAGGGAGGAGGAAAACTAAAAGCCATAATTGCTATTGAGTAAGTCTCAAGGGAAATGACTCATTTAATCCAGTTTTACAATACCCTAGATATTATTTCATTAGCACAGTTATGTCACTTGCATACACAGTAACATTCTAACATTTAGAAATAAAGCCCTAAATACCCTGTGAACTAAGCCTCTACATTATGGATGTGCAGCAGTATTCTACTTTATTTGTTTAATTCAGACTTCTGAACTTAGTCAGAAGGAAATCGTTAGTGTACCAGCTGAGGAAAGAAAATATTATGGCGAATTCTATTTTTGGTAACAAAGCACCAACAACAATGATTAGATGTCAGTTTTGATACATAGGATATTTTCATTTTCACCTATCAAATGGTATATATATATTTTTAATTAAATGTGCCCATTCTACAGATAGAAGCTGCTTTTGAACAAAGAATCAGTCTTTCAGCCACCGGATACTTCAGGTAAAAATTACAATAATGTCTTGACATAACTGAGAAAATATGAGGTAACCCAATCACTCTGGGCCTCAGTTCCCTCATTTGTAAAATAAGTTTTCATTAAGTGATCTTTGAGGTCCCTTCTAGGCTCCAAATTTTATGACTTCACATAGGCCTTTATGCTATATTCAAAGAAATATTGAATAATAAAAATACCTCTATTGGGAAAAATAATTTAACATGACTTATGATATCTAATCATTATTTACTTTTCTTTATTTTTGAAAAAGTAAAGAATAATATTCTTTATTGTGAATAGTAAAAAGATATCATTAGAAATAACTTGCACTCAATTTTACAAATCTCCCTCCATTTACCATAAAATCTTTCTATATTGAAGCTCCTTGCTGGGCAGGAGGAGATGAATAAGATGGTCATCACCAGTCGTCATTTGTGCCATGTCTGTTAGTGGGAGGCCATCAGTAAATGCATGTTAACTGAATGAAGCACAGAGAGGAGAGCTGGTTATCAATTTCAGGAAGTGTTTGTATGACATTAGTTTAACAATCTAGTGAAGCAAACCACCAAACTACAGAGGGGAGTGGGGGGAGGGGAGCTAGCAGTAAAGCAAATGCTCATGAAGAAAGAAGGAAAGTGGACAGTAACAGCCCAACCCAGTGACCTGTACATAATAAGTTCTAAATTCTTGAGTTCAGTTACCCAAAAAGAGAGCAAATTAGCTCTCTAGCTGAATACATCTTCCATTATACATTACTACATTAAACTACCAGCCCTTTTAACCAGCAGGAGGGTCCCTCTGGGAATGCTGATAAAATTAGTTGAGGTTCTCAATGGGAAGAGCTAAACCTCAACCTTTAAACCATCGAGATACAGACATCCCGTGAGGTCTGGACCAAAGCAGTCTGTTGGCCTCTCTCTGTTTTTGGTGTCCAAACTGCAGCACAAAGAGTATCCTCTTTAAAATGGAGGCAAACGAGGTGTTGCTGTAACCAGCTAGGTTGTCAATACAGGTAGTAGTTTAAATGAGTTGAAAAGGCAGTTGAAAAAAGCATCAATCAAAAGAAATGCTATCATAAAACTTGAGTAAAGTTTGAAAATGAATCCATATTCTTTGTATCCTTCCCACACCCCAAGCTAAAAGGGCTTTATTTCTTCCAACAGGGGCTACAAGGCCTTCATGGACTGGGAGAAGGGAGAGGGTGACCCGTTTCCATACTATGTCTATGGAGCAGCCTGTTCTGAGGTTGAAATCGACTGTCTGACAGGAGCTCACAAGGTAACTCCAACATAACTTTCCTCTTAAAACAATTACAAAGTTAAAACAATAACAAAACTGCATTGTAATTAGTAGCCCAATTTCATTATATAATACTTGTACAATAAGAATAAGGCTTCTTTCAATTCCATGGGAATGACTAGAGATCCAGCTTTATAGTGAATTTCCACTTAAAAAGAAATAGTTAAAAAGGAATTGCTCATGACAGCCTAAAATGCATTGTTTCTTATTTCATTTCAGATAAAACCACTTTCTAAAGTTTTTGCAAAAAAAAAAAAGTTCTTTTTCTAAAGGTAGGTCAGTTTATCTAATCTGAAGGAATAGGTAATTTAGCAAACTGTTTTGAGTAAACATTTTAAAAGCATATGGCAATGTGATACTGTTTCTTCAAAGTCAGGTATCCCAAAGGTACTTATAGACATCTAAAGATTAGAGGGAAGAGAGAGGGAAAGTAAAAATAATTTTGTTTGCTATTTCATTGAGCATCCAAGAAACCACCTATTGAAGACAGGGAGTCATATTTAAGCAAAAGTTAACCCCTTCCACCATAAAGGATAAATCCATGAATATATGCCAAATATCATTTTGACGACAGGGATTACAGAAATCTTAAATAGAATATAGTATAGTCCAAAGCACAGTAAATTTACAGGATGGATCAATGACATATCTAAATTCCAAACACAAATTATTCCAACATCACCTTGAACCATCTTGCCCCCAAACAGAAATGGCCTATTCATGTAAAATAGAAAGGACTTTGCAAATACTGACTTGTAAAGCTTATCAAAATGTCTTTTATTACCCCATTGTTGGTTAACTTGTCTGCCACTTAAATATTATATGAATAGGGCTTTTAAAAATATAGTAAATGAAGGGGTATCTGGAGAGCAGTTGTCCTCGCATTTCACTCAGGCTCATCCTTAGGATACATTAGTATAATGTCTCCATTTTCATTCCAGATCATTGTTAAGAAGTAAACTCATGAAATTAGAATCACAGTTGCTCAGACTGTGTGTCCTAATGTTTTTCACATCATGACACATATAGATAGTGATAATGTTTGCACAGCACAGTGTGGCAAAAAAGAAAGCTGTGGTTGCAGGCGACTAGCCTGGGGGTTCTGCACCAGGCCCTTCCAAAAGACCAAGTGTCAGTGTCACTGCAAGACTCCACACTAGTGGGAAGCTGTTTTGAGAAATCAACTAGTTTTCTAAACCTCCACCCTGAAGATGGTGTTGCCAGATTTAGCAAATAAAGATATAGGATGCTTAGTAAAAATTTGAATTTCAGATAAACAAAACAAAAGTAATTTTCTGATATAATTATGCTCCCTGAAATATTTGGGACATACTTATTTAATCTGGCAATTTCACCTTCGGGCCTTGCTATAAATATCTGAAGAAATGAACCTCATGGGGATCTTCCAGAATTTATGGTACCAGAAAATTCTAAATTTGGTCTTCCCTGTGCCTCCCTTATTACAGTTTGAGGCTCAGTCATTTCAGTATCGCTTTGGTCCCTTGAAATACTATTTGTGGTTGATGAACTAAAACATCTGACAATTCATTTAGTGCACAGCCACCTCTTCCCATTGTCCAACATCCATAATGCAAAATAAACCAGATTTCAAGTTAGAAGTAAATTGAAGGCCCACTCTAAAGTGAGTCCAATCTCCTGCCCTATCCAGGTTGAGAATGGATGAAGGCTTGTGCCAGTGCCCACAGTAGGTTGTCTGAGAGTTCAACGTTTGAGTCAAAAGAGAATTTCCTATCCAAAGGGCTGGATAGGAAATAGGAGCCTAAGTATTGGGCCTAAACAGAGAATAGTGATATCAGAACAAGCACTGGATGTGGGAGCAGAAGGAAAGCCCACAGATATTCCTGAGATAGACCACAGGGACTTAGGGGCTTTGTGTGGCTCATGCCCAGTGCCAAAACGGAAGGGCTAGATTAGAGTGATGTTTCTTAGGGAAGGAAGTAGATTAGCAAAGTCAACGGTGTTCTCAACATTCGCCGTAATAATGTTCCAAGACCTTGCACATCCCCAGATTCATATATGCCACTATAGGCTATGATTTCTTCAGTAAAATGCAATAATACCACCTACATCAAACCATTACGAACCTGGATTTATTGCTCTAATTACATTAGAGCAATAAATCCAGGTTGAGAATCAGATGAACAACCAGGTCCAATTATTTACTAAGTAACACTCAAACATACCAACATGCCATGGACTTCAGAGTCACTTTAGAGGACTCAAAATCATGAATGCAAAAGACCTTCTGGGGTTATCGACAGTCCTAGCACTAAATATGAAGAGCATAGCCAATGACTTATCACATTGTTGCTGTGGTAATGTTGCTGGAATTCAATGAAGTGTTAATTAACCAGCAGGAGTTCTGGAATAATTTGAGACCATTCGAATAAACCTTAAAACAATATTTTTAATTCAAGTTTTTATGCTGAGTGAGGTATTTTTAAATTTTGGCAGAAAATCAGAACAGACATCGTCATGGATGCATGTTGCAGCTTAAATCCGGCCATTGATATTGGGCAGGTAGGTGCTGGCCCACTTAGACGGATGCTGCTTCCTGAGAGTCACTGCAGGGTAGGTAAAGGCCTTCTGAAAAGCATACAGTATCACAGAACTTGACATTTTCCTCCTTCAGATTGAAGGTTCATTTATTCAGGGAATGGGCCTTTATACCACTGAGGAGCTAAAATATTCTCCAGAAGGTGTCCTATACTCTCGAGGTCCAGATGAGTACAAAATTCCAACCATCACTGATGTCCCAGAGGAGTTCAATGTCTCCTTGTTGCCATCATCACAAACCCCACTAACCATCTATTCATCCAAGGTAAGCACCCAAACCACCTACTACTGCACAATGTGACGGATCAGGCAGCATAATAAATGAAAGCAGGTGGATAAAATGAAAAATAAATGTCAAGCTTTATCGGGACCAAATCAAGATAGACTATTAAAATTTGGAGGTGACTCACCTAGAGAAATTCAGAGATTTCAGAGAAGACCAATGACCTACCCAATGACAATTCTGGGCCAAGGGTTTTATTTATTAAATCCTCTTTCACTGAGAACTCTAAAATTCAGCAAAAAGGTTTGATTTGCTAGAATAATATTCTCACTTAAGAGCCAGAAGATGAAAATATTAAATTGGATCGAAGTCACAATGCTACTGAAATCTTAGAAAGCAGTGGCAGCATGGACAGAATTCCGGACTAGGCCTTTAGAATATCTGAGTCCTGCCCCAACCCCACCAACGCCCTATGATGTGAAGCAAATCACTCACCTCCGAGAGGCTTGGCATCCTCAGCCATACCCAGAAATGATCTACAGCAGTGTTCTCAATGGGGACGGGTGATTTCCCTCCTTCCCCTTCCCCCAGGAACATTTGGCAATGTCTGGAGACATTTCTGGTTACAACTAGGAGTGAAGATGTTACTACTAGTGAGTAGAGTCCAGGTATACTGCTAAACAGCCTTCAAGGCACAAGACAGCCATCCACGACAAAGAATTATCTGGTCCAGATGGCAACAGTATCAATAAGCAAACATACCAGTCCTTGGTAATTGCTAAAGTAGTGAAATTACAAATTAAAATAAAAGTCAGCATGTGTTTGCATTGCTAGATGCAGATTCGATGTGAAAACCATCCTGGGAAAAGAAACTTCATTTAGGTTTGAGATATACTGTTAAAATTTTCTCTAAAATCTTTCGGGAGACTTCTTACTAGGGGTGGCAAGTTAATACTAAAAATCAATAAATGATTTTTCTTCTGGAATTTTACCTGCTGGAATTTTATCATTTCCAAACTGGATCCCTCTTATAGCCCAGAAAGTTTCGCTGAACAGACGGTGGTGAGGTGGAGAAAATTTGAAAGGAAGGACAATCAATAGGTCCTTTCGATTCTTCCTGGATTAGAAATCACTCAAAAGGAAAAAGGCAAAAGGATGCCAGAGCCCACAGAGAGCATCTTTTAGGCCACCAACAGTAACAGGGCCGGCAGGGCCCTTGGGTCCTTGTGGTTGTGGCCAGCCACTCATAGGCACCATGGAGTGTACTAAGAATAATAAGAGGGACCTACCAGGTACCAAGTGCTCTGCTATGTGCTTTTGTGCTTCCTGAACTTCACGGCACCCTGTAAAGTGGGTGTCTTTGCCCACGTCTCACCCAGAGAAACACAGGGAGTCGGGGTCAGGATGCAAATTCAGTCACTCTTAGCTCAGGGATTGCAAATTGAGGCCACTGACCAAATCCAGCCTGGAGATGTGTTTTCTTTGTCCTATACAGTGTTTTTTTAAAGTCAGGGAATTTTATATGAAAATATGAATATCTAAATTCTGTTGGAAAATTGCATGATCTGATCATTTTAGCTACATTTCTGAAAGGCAATAATTAGCTAGAACTGAAGAACAGCTGCCTCCTTTAGACAGGACATGGGTGTATCTCTACTTCACCATAATCCCTACTATTCCTTATAGCCCTTCATTTCCTCGCATCACTCATTTGTATTACCTGACTATTCCTTGCAGATGATGGGCTTTCAACCCATCATCTGGTACCAAAGTCTGTACTCTTTCTTCTAAAGTACCTTGCCTCCCTGACCCTGGAGTTATAATTTTTCTCTTTGCTCATGAAGCTGACTAGTTCAATCCACTGAATGTGTTTTTCTAAATAGGGTACCCTCCCCTCACCACACACACACATACACACACACACAAATACCCCCCTCTTTCCTATAGAACAAAGATGTAACCCAAACACTATTAAAGATAGGGGAAGTTCATGTGAAATTGTGATTTTAAGAGCACTTAAGCTTCATTCAGTCAATAAGTCGGTCCACAAATATTTATTGAGAACCTATTGTGTGCAAGACCCAGTGCTAGGGATTGGGGATACAATCGTGAACAAGACCTAGCCCCTGACTTTTAGCAGCTTATAGTCTAGTGTGGAAGCTTCTAAAACAAAGGTACTTTTTTGCAGGGCCTGGGGGAGTCTGGGATGTTCCTAGGGTCATCTGTATTCTTTGCCATTGCTGACGCTGTGGCCACAGCACGCAGGGAGAGAGACATAGCCGAGGACTTCACAGCGAAGAGTCCAGCGACGCCAGAGCGTGTTCGAATGGCCTGTGCAGATCGGTTTACAGAGATGGTATGGAATTATTGTTTATTTTCCTAATAGGTGATTTTTCTATTTCCTGCTTCTTAGACCTCTGAGGTAAATTTATAACCTAATCTGAGTCTAATGAAATTATAAGATGAAAGTTAAAAGCAGCCATAAGCCCACTAACTAGAAATCACCATAACATACACACATACACACACGTTTTTAACCATCTTTTAATTCACATGTTTATATGTAAAATCTACCTTATTTATGTTCTCAAAAAAATCAGGATATCCTGGCATAAATGTTTGAAAAGATTCAAACACTGTAACTGGGAGTGACTCTGTTGAGCCTTTATTCACAGGAAATCTAAATTGAGAAGATACTTCTTCCCCACATACGATCCCTCAAAAAATAAACACAAAAAGAAAATACCTAGCCAACATCATTTATCTCACAAACTCATAACCTTTATTTCTAGGCAGTGGAATAAGTTTTGGAGGCAAGGGCAGGGCAGAATGTTTAACTTCTTAACAATAGGCTCTTGGTAATAAGGCTACTCAGACCACATTGAGAATGACCATTATCCTTTGTACTGATCCTGACCCACAATATCCCTAGCCATTCCACTGACCTCGTGTATATCTGATAACAGGAGAATGTAGGCCATTCAAGTCCTTAGGGAGACTTGAGAGATCCATGAGTTACTCTGTTCTGGGCTCCAGACCCTCTGTCCTCAGCTGGACACCAACAGAGAGGACAACCAGAAGCCTGCCAAGGGAAGCAGAGAGGAGGAAGTCCTGACTTTTGGCTTAACAAAGAGGAGCAGAAGCACACAAAATATAGATTCTTCTGCTGCTTCCTGTCATAGGAAATGGCAATACTACTCCACACGTGTAGGAACACAAACCCAAAATCTGGGAGTTGGCCTGACATTTCTCTCTCTCATTCTCAGTAGCCAGTCTTTCTCCATGTCCCATTCATTTTAACCCCTAACAATCTCTTGTACCAGTCTATTTCCTCCATTTCTAACCAGTATGTTATTCACTCATTAAACATTTTTTGAGTATCTAACAGGTGCCAGGCATTGTTCTGGGTGCTGAGAATCTAGAGGTGAATAAAGTAGAGTTATCTCTACTTATTCTCTAGAGACCCTAAGTCCAACTACCATCTCTTTGGCCTGTGTCAGAGCCGCCTCCTAATGGTCTCCCTATACACACTGCAGCCAGAAACCTGTGGTGTGACAAATATCATGTCACTCTAGCACATACACAAAGCGAAAAGGTTCCCATTGCTCTTGGGTTAAAGATTGGACTTTTTAATTTGCCATGCAAAGCCTATAAACCTACAAAGTCCAGTATGGCAGGCCCCCATGCACCTCTCCAGCCACACGTGGTCCCCCAGCCCACCTTCTCTCTCCATGCCAGCCACACTTGCCATCTTCTGTCTGTTCTTTGTATCAAGAACAGAGACCTCTGCCATGCTCCTCCCTCTGCTTGGAACCATCTTCTTTCTTTTCTTCACCTGGCTAACCCCTACCCACCTTTCATATTTTAATCATATTCAAGAAATTAATTGGATACTTTCCTTCTTGCATAGTTTGAGGAACCAAGAGTACAATAGTGAACCAGACACAGGTCCCTGCTTTCAAGTTGTTTACAGCATAGCAGAGGAGAAAGACAAACAATTACTGTAAAGTGTAAGTGCTTGGCTGACTCTGGATTATCCCAGTGTGTCAATAAAACAAAACTTTTCTAACTTAGCCTTAATCTTTTCTTAAAGTCAAAGGGGTCGTGGATGTGGCCCCAGCTTTGATCATTCATCACGTAATTCATTCATCTAACATTTATTCAGCCTTTTCCATGTGCCAGGTACTGTGCTATGAACCTAAAGAAATAGTGAGCCAATCTTTACCTGCATGGAGCTTACATTTTATTTAGGAAACCAGATAGTAAACAAGTAAACAAACAATACAATTTCAGGTGATCATAAATACTGTAAAGCAAAAAGAAGAGTAGGGAGCTAGAATGAGATGAGATTATTTTAGATTATTTTAGATAGTTTATTAGAGAAGTTTTCTCTGGGTGTTCACACTTGAGCCAAGGCCTGCGTGAAGTGAAAGAGCAAGCATAAAGCTGATAATGGTGTGCTCAAGGCAGAGACTAGCTAATGCAAAGGCCCTGAGGCAGTTTCAATGGATTCAAAGTAGGCTGAGATTAAGTAGCCCTCAAAAATAAACAGCCTACTTATTAAGTTTCCGAATTTGCCTCTGTGGTAGAAAACTTGTAACTGAAAGACTGCAATTGTTCTCCCTGGCAGAGAGATAAAAAGAAATAGAAATAAAAGAAGTAGAAATAAAAGAAATAGAAATCTGTGGTTCTACCCTTATCTTCAGATCGGCAGGCGAGACCTTGGTAGTCCTTCCATCCGCAGCTTCCCTGGCACCCACCCTCTATGGCGATTCAGATCTACTTTTTCAGAGCTTTAAAATTACCGTTTATTCACACTGGAGGCCTCCCGAAGTTCTGACAGCCTGGCTCCCTACTCAGACCAGTCTGTTTATAGCATCTTGGAACAAATCTGAGCCTGTATCAGAATTTACATTTGCTCGAACTACAAGATGGTTTTTTAATTGAAATATAAAATAATTCACACTGGCATACAATACTATACTATACAGAAAATTTTTTTTTCGAGAAATATAGATACTAACACTCTTTGTATTTGATCTTTGAGTATTGTTATCAAAACACACTTTTTTTCTGACAAGTGAGGTGAGTATACTAGAATGTGAATATTGGAAAGTCCAAAATCTCCTCTTTTAATAATCTTCTAATAATCATAAGGTAAATAACAGCCTGCTTATGTCTATTTCTTTAATAGAAATAGCAAACACTCAGTACTTTTCCTTTTGGAATTAAGTAAAATATGCATTTAAATGCATGTAAAAATATTGTGTAAATACAAGTCACTCTGAAAATATTGGGGTTAAGGTCTCCATCAAGTACCCATAACTATTAATGACCTTCTTCAAAATGTGCCTCTCTCATATTAAATCAAGTTGGGCTGCTGAGGGCAGAAAAAACAACTCATAAGACTAGCGGCCTCATTTTCACCGATAATTAGCTTCCAGCTTCAACAAAGAGCAGACATTGATAGGAAGGCTAGAACACTTTTGTTACAAAAAGTTCTATTATTTGAGCAAAACCTTTCTACACGTGTGGCCTTGGTTACCTTGCTCAGAGTTCTGGGTTCTGGGTTCTGGGTTGTTGCTTTTAGGCTGGGGCCCTTTCTCAGGTGGTTAACCCCAGGTCAGAGCAGTGGTGCTGGTGATGGTTTCTGCTCTGAGCCCAGCAGAGCAGCCTGGCTCACCCAGACATGGCCACGAACATCATATCTCTATATAATTTCCTTTGGGGGGATGAGAAAAGAAAGAAAAATGCATTTCTTGGGAAATGTGTTTTATATAGTCGTTTAAATTCCCCACCCCAAGAAGGAAATTTCCCTTAAAGATAAACATACATAAAGATAAAAATACATAATTAACATTTTCAAATTAGGACTTTTCCTTAGAAACAGATTTCATTTTTTAAAAAATCTTCAGGATTCAGAGACACGGAGAATTAATTCCACAGCCTTAATTAACTTTTCCCATTTAGAAAAAAAAAAGTGCACCTTGCTGCCAGTTGATTTAACATCATGTGTAGGAACGCTGCATTTTCTAGCATTTGACATTTTCAGTGATCAAGAATTACCATATTTTGTAAATGGAAAACTGCCACTAAAAACAGAATGCTATCAATAGAATGATGTCATTTGTTTCCAAAGACTATGGATATACTAGAGCAATGCGGAAATAATAATAAAAGCACTATTTTTCTCTCTTTGGGGCAAGCTTTGGGGTTAAGGTTAGGACTGTAATCTGCGAGGTATCTTGGGGTAAACGCTGCAGCCACAAGCGCCGCGGGCGAGTATTCTCGCAGCAAACGGGAAATGGGTTAAAAATTACAAAAATACTGCTTTAGCGATGTTTTCAGTAGGACGAACCCCAAAACCTTGTTACCTTGTTATCACTAGCAGCAAAAAGTATTTATTAAAGTAACTACAGAAACGCGGTAGGTGTGGGCTGTCATAGTGGGAGGCCATGTAAAGCCAACTAGCAGATCCGTTTCCCCTCTCCTGGAAGCTAAAATCAGACAACTCAGCTTAGAAACAAGTTTGTAAAAGGTTTCAGCTCACCCAACATTTCAAAGAAGCAGCCTTTTCATGCTGACTCATGAGGAATCCTTGCAATCACAACAAATGACTAGGTTAGGCTAAGCCCTGATTTTATAGTAACTTAATGGGGAAAAGTCCTTTCATTCTAGACCAGTACCCAATTCAAAATAGCCATACCTGTCCTGCCCCTGGTATTCTATAAGGTAGGCAAGTGTGTAGTTTCTAAAGGCCTTTACCTTCCCTGCTCTGCAAACCCTACTCCGGCCTCCTTCCACCTACTCCCCTTGCTCTACATCACTACCACCCTTACCACCCCCGAGTCTCATCTTTTGTATTTCTAGATGCCCAGATTCAGTGAGAGTTGGCAGCACGAAAAGTGCCACCTGTTTAGTTCAATAAAGGAAGCCCTTTCTGCCAGATGTAGGAGGAGAGGCATGTAAACATTTCCTGTGCTGCAGGCAGCCTGGTTTACCTACACTAGTCTCAAATGGTTCCTTCCAAAATGCTAGTCTTCAACCCCATATCCTTGCATTTCCCTGACCTGGGAGAGATGTACTGCCAGTCCTACGAGACTGCATTCTATTTTCTATGATTCTGGAACTTACCCCTACAACACGTAAAAACATGCAGTCTCCTGCCTGTTCTGCTAAAAGCTATGCCACGGGTAATTGGCAGAGCCTCGAAGCTGCACAAACACACCCAGTCACATGGACTCTGTGAGATGGAACACACAGGACCAAGCTACAGGACTCAGGAAACAACACAGAGTGGAGGCGTTCATAGTGCCTTCCCCAGAATCCTGAGCCTATCATCCTGTTCCAATGAGATACATGCATGCACACACATACAAACACACAGCGCACACATACTCAGACAGGCGTGTACTTCTTCTTTACCTACCCCTTACGCAGTTTTAGAAGAGGTTTATTGGCACTAAAACAGGCTGTGAAACTGGTTCCACATTGAACATGCTTTGTCTCAGGATGCAGGGACTAAATCTGTGCTCTTTAATGCTTGGTGGCACTTCACACAGTGGCCGTTCTTACTACTAAAGGAGGATTATCCAATACTGTTATTAAATGCATATTTTTGTATCTAAAAATTCTTCTACCTGGTCTCTGGACCTCCTTTACTCCCTTTAGCTGAGGGAATCAGGAGAAAGGAAGCACATAAAAAGGAAGAGGGCAAAGCTGGAGGCATTCCTCAGATTAAGAGAGAGAATGAGCAATGCAGTATGTGAAACAGAAAAAAGGCAGCCATCTTATCTGGTCGGGAGGAGAAATAATACACTGTTTTAACTCAGTTAAGACATGGCCCTGGAATCAGAGGAACCTGGGTTGCAATCCCAGCTCTACCTTTAAAGATGTGTTTAACCTCTCTGATCACTCAGTGTCCTTATCTATAAAATGAGGGGAGAGGTGTGTGGAGAGAATAATACTAATTACTTTACAGGACTGTTGAAAGATTTGAATAATTTAACACATGAAAAGCATATAGCAGTTGTCACACATAGGAAGTGGTCGATATACATTGATGATGATGATGATTGATTAAAAGTCCCCAAAAGTACCTTCGGATTTCAATATTCAACTAGATGGACTTCCAGAACTTAGAAAACTGTTATATGCATGGTTATGGTTTATTACAGTGAAAGCATACAAATTAACATCAACGAAGGAAAAAGGCACATAGGACAGAGTCCAGGAGAGACCAGGTGTACGCTTCCAGTTGTCTTCTCCCACTGGAGTCACACCGATAGCACTTAATTCCCCCAGCAACGATATGTGAGAAAACGCACAAAGTATATAACCAATCAGGGAGCTCTCCTGAGCTTTGGTGTCAGAGTTCTTATTAGGACTAAGTCACATAGGCAAAGGTTATGACCTGCATAGCTAACCTTAGTTACTCAGTGTCCAACCCTTTTAAGAGGTCAAAAATACCATATGGCCCAAGACCTCAGATAAACAATGACACTCTTTTCAGGCAGAGTATTTCAAAGGCTTAGGTGTTATCTCCCAGGAGCTGGTCAAGGGCTGAACTTTTCTTTAGAATGTTCAGGGCTTGCACACCGCAGGCCTGCTGAGTTAATCCTTTATTGCACAAAATTGATGTTGAATAATCCCGAATTGATGGCAACTACCACTGACCTAGGCCTTGACACCAATGAGACTGGGCATAGACATATCTCAGAAGCTGAAATTTAACTAAAAGTGGAATCAGTCCTGACAGCCATAGTGAATATATTGCCATCGTTACAGCTATCAAGAACTAACCGGAGAGAAAGAGAAGGAGAGAGGAAGGGGTTTATGGCACTAAGCAAGGGAGAAGAAAAAAAGAAGATCACCAAAGGCCAATGAAGAGCAGCTCAAGTCCCAGGTCTGGATCTTTGAGACCAAAAAAGAAGTGATGTCCTCACTCAAGAGCTAGAGAGTAGGTGAGAGCCAAGAAAGCCTCTGTAGCAAGATAAGGAGTATTGATTTGAGTCCCAAAGCAGAAGAGTACTCCAGGAACCTAGATCTTGTGAAAAGAATAGGAAGTAGGTTTTAAAAGAGGCTAAAAATTCCCATCACATTTGTCAGAAGAGCTGACCTGAATCTACCTCAGACTAGACGGAGGAGCTTTGTCCAGTGTCCAGCCCAGTCCAGGTAGAACAGGCTGATTCTAAGTAAAATAGCCAGGCAACTCCCAACACAGGAGCTAAATGGAGAATTAGGGAAGGCCCTGTGAGAAGGGCAAACCTAGCCCCCTATTTACATTCCAATACAGATTAGGAGGGTAAAGGTATCCTGACAGGAGTTGGGTTGTTGTTTTTGTTTATTTGGAGATCTTGTTTTTGTGAAACAAATATTAGGAAAAAAGCTTTTGAGAATCTTTATGACTTTCTGTTATGTGAAGTTTGTGTTTTTAACACCTTTGTAACTAAAAGTCAATTCTTTATACAAAAACATGACAACAGTAGAGGCGAGGAATGTATGTTCTGCTTTCTGGCTAAACCTAAGGGGAAGAATTCCCAGCACAGGAGACAGGAGTTGAGGACTACAAGAACTAATGATCGACAAGTTGAATTCTTGGGGGCTCGTAGCCCAGCATAGTTAAATGAGCCTGGGGTTTAACTAGCAAGGGTACTACTGTACAACTCAACTCATTTGGCTAAAGGTGTAGACAGAGCTGTTCTGAAATCACTGCACAGGAGTTCAGGTCCATAGGTTCCAAAGCAAGCAACTCTCAGCCTAACCACTTCCCTTTGCTATCTCCCCCGACCCCTGCAAATGTCTTCATAGTACATATAATTCCCTTTGAGATTCACATCTTGGAAGCAAAGAAGATAGGTAACTAATTGAAATACCCTCTTACTTAGCAATATTAAGTGTAGCGGAAATCATAATACTGATCCACTGCCTCTTCAGAGTTGTCACTGAAAAGAAATGGTACAGTCCCATTCCCCGGGAAGATCCTGCAGCATTTCATCAGGAAAATTATATCAAATCTGTAGGTTTTGGAAAAATCTTCTGATGGAAGGAGGCAGGATCTTCCTGGGGAATGGGACTGTACCATTTCTTTTTAGTGACAACTCTGAAGAGGCAGTGGATCAGTATTATGATTTCTGCTACACTTAATATTGCTAAGTAAGAAGGTACTTCAATTAGTTACCTATCTTCTTTGCGACTGTGCAAATCTTCACTTCTTTAAAATGACTCTTTCTCTTCTCTTTCTCCTTGATTCAAACTGACCTTGGGCTCACTTGCTTGTTTTCTTTCCTTATCCTTCTGCATCCTGCCAGATCACTTCCTTAGTCATTAAGCCCTTAGGTCAGCATGAAACAGTCTTAGGAACAAAGCTACAGGTCTGTTGACTACAGAAACAGTTTCGGTCAAACTAAAGTTAACACCTTGCAGCTCCCATGAAGGCTGAATGACCCTACTGGCATCCCCTTGAAACCAGACATGATCCATGACTGACAGCAGGACCTGATGCAATGATCAACTGCCTCCTACCCTAACCCTGACCAATCAACAGAGACCACAACCCCAGCTCCCTTAGCTAACAAGTTTTCCCCTATATAACCTATCCCCTATAGGCCATCGGGGAGCCAGGTCTTTGAGCACTAGCTCACCTGTGTCTTCAGGCTTGGTGCCATTTCCTTAAATAAACCATTACTTTCTTTGCTGCAAACTCTTGTCTGTGTCTCCTTTGGCTTTGATGCATGCAGGCAAAATGAATCCCTTGAGTTTGGTAACACAATGGTATTCTGATATTAAGTATTGGATTTTCTTTCTTTCTTAGATTCCAAGAGATGACCCTAAGACATTTAAACCTTGGTCTATCCCTATAGCATAACACTGCCGTCATTTCCTTAAAAGGTAAGATCAATAAGCTGAAAGATAATTACTCAGAAAGAAAAAAAATCATCCAGTCCAGTGACTTTCCAACTGTGTTCTATGGAAATTTAGGACTGTGCAAGTATGTAAATCAAGTTTCATTTTTAAATCTTATCCAATATTTTAATCCTGTAACAATAAACAAACATGGCTTTGATGCTGACAGAGTAAAGTCAGGGTGTTTAACCCAACATAGCAGTTTTTCTTTTTATTTTAAAATAAAAATATTTTACTACAGCCATGCCACCCTGAACACACCCGATCCCATCTGATCTCGGAAGCTAAGCAGGGTCGGGCCTGGTTAGTACTTGGATGGGAGACCACCAAGGAAGACTGGGTGCTGTAGGTGTAAAAATAAAATAAGATAAAATAAAATAAAATAAAATTTTTTTAAATAAATAATAAAATAAAATTTAAAATAAGAATGCTGTGGATTAAGATATTTTAAAGATCCTACTCCCTGATTCTTTTGAGAACCACAACTTGAGTGCAAAACATCACAATAAAATCTGTTGATTACTACATTTATAATTAACTAGCGCTATTTGAGGGAGTTACCTATTTGTATTCATTGAGTTCAATTGCTACAGTTTTGTACTGCTGCTGAACACGAAACACAGAGCCCTGAAAACTTTGGCGAGTCAACCCTGAAAGGACCTGGGAAATATATGCTGATAAAAGAAACACATTTTCATTGTTAGAAAATCAAACTTCTGCTTTTCTGCATACTTAATGGGCAACATTAAAGAAACCCAAGAGAACTACATCACAGATTTAGAGAAAACAGGTTTTTTTTAATCAAATTCTAATTTTCCAATTAAATGTCTAAAACAACCCACAAATATTAAAATATGTATGTTTAATTCTGTTGTGCTTTGTCAGAGAAGTTGCACTGATGGTTTTACTGAATCAAATTAAATAATTGATGAGATTTTTGTTTCTCCTTTCACAATTAACAACAAAAATAAAAATAGGCAATGTTTAAAATCGTATTTTAAAACATACACCCAAGTATGGCGGGTAGAATTTTTGAATTCTTCAATTATTTTCTCTCTCTACCTCTCTCTTTCTGAGTAATAAATGTGAATATGATGGCAAATCCATTATATTTCCTACATAAAACAAGGTATGTGAAGCATATAGCATTATGTCTGACACTATTACTCACTGAAAGATAGCTAAACACACAAACACACATACACACACAGATGTGCTAAATACCAAATCTTAACAAATTAGCAAACACCAATGAGTGAACCGGGTTGTCAAGTTTTGTACAGACTTTAAAATAAAGACTGCTTCAGACTGCAAGACAATTTTAAAAAACAAAAACAAAACAAAACAAAAAAAACTCTTGCCACTTTACCACATACAACTATTCTGTGTGCAGAATCCTCTCCATGTAGAGCAATTAAAACAAAATGCAGATATAAATTGCATTCTGAATCTTTAGCTGTCATCCTTTACCTGCAATTTCAAATTTTTGCATTCTTCAAAGTACTTGTATTTGCTTTATAAACAAGTGTTAAACGTTGACCTTATTAAATTTATACTATACCAAAATCATACATATATGTTCCCCATAACATTTTAAACCACAGCTAAAAAATGTGTAAAAACCTCTGATCTCATCCAGCTTTTCATTTTAAAAATGAAGATATGGAAGCCAAGGGTGAATAAATAAGTAACTAAACATACTTATTCATATCAGTAAAGCTTACCAATCCAATTGTCAGCTATTTGTTGTTCTCACACATAAAAGTTGAGGGATTTGCACATTTTATAATTATTCTCTTTTCTTTTTTTCCAGGTGTTTCAATTTTTCACAAGTGAAAAGATAAGCTTTTTGATCCTAACTGGACTCTACACTGATATTCTTATGCTGTTGGGAAAAAAAATGACACACAATTTAGAAACATTATTCAAGTCTGATTACATTAACAAGATGAATTATTATCTGCAAATTACTTACTTAGACTTTCTAGCCTAGAGGCCACCAGCCTAGAGACAAACCACTGCAATAGTCACAGCAATCACATTTAAAACTGATATGTTTTCTGAAGATATCATGTAAATATTGCTATAAAAGCAATTTTTTCCTTTGCATATCCATGCAACTGGACTGGTAATACCAGTTACAATCCTAGAATGAAAGACAATTCTCAGTAGATGAACATGTGATTGCTTTTCCCAGGAATGTGTTTGATTCAGTGGCCACAGCTGTGGACACCACAAGAGTTCTACAAGGTTTTGTTTGGTTTGGTTTTTACTGTGGATTAGCTATGGGTCTGCGTATGTACATTTGACCGCAAAGGAGTGGCACTTTCCTCATGTAGATCAGCTATTCAACTGGTTGACATTCCTTTGGAATTTGGAGGGAGAAAACAGCGTAAAAACATTTTCAATGTATTTTCATGAACCCTTTTATTTTTTAAATTTATTCATGAAAAACATCTGAGCTGGGATCAGAATTTCAGAAATACTTCTTGTTCATTTTCCCATATATTGAAGAGGGTAACATGGAGCAAGAGAATTCTACAACATAATCACGCATATGTTGTAGTTGGAAACATATAAGATCCACTAAATTCCATTTCTCTGAGCTCCTTCAGAAAAAGAGAAATCAGTTTATGAATTAGGCCTTATTTGACCAGAAAGTCAGGAGGTAAACTGACACTCTACCAGCCAGAATTCACATGATCAGTTTCACCAAGCAGTCCTCTTGGTGGACTCTGAAGAAAATGAAGGAGGAGAGGCTGAGCTGAGCCCTTGGTGATTGGTGAGAGAAAGTAAAGATCAGGCATGGAAAGCCAGGAGGAAGCAGAAGGTCACAGGAGGCACTGAATCTGTCTGATTGAAGGAACTGGGATATAGCTGTTCAAGGCCCAGTCTGCTGACTTTGGAGGCTCTCCTACGCACAGGAGTCCAAGGGAAGAAGTGGTACAGGAGCACAGAGAGAAAGGAGACAGGAGCAGAAGGGTCATGGACAGGACAAAAATTACGCAAGATTTTTACATACATGAGCAGAAGAGCTGGGCAACTTAGTGGGAGTAGCTGGGGTGAAATAAGTTCAAAGTAATTTTAAACAAATGGTTTTGCTCTTAAAAATAAAATCCTTAATTGTGTAATCTAATATGAATGTGAGAAAAGTGTTTTATCATTTGTATCATTTTAAATGATGGCGAATATAATTTGTATTTTTTTTAATTTGGTTTATTAGGGCTAAAGATGGCTACTGGGCATTTATTCTCCACTGTCATCTTTGAGAATTATAAAACATTAAAAATAGATATATCTTAATGAAAATTATTTGTGTGAGTTGGTACGCTAAAATCTGGATGGCATGGATATGAAAATACTTTTTTAAAAGACATATTTAAAGCCATATACTTTAAAACAGTTATTTGGGCTCAATATAAGCATTGTAAAAGATGAAACTTACTGAATTTTTTTAGTAATTAATACATTCACATGGTTCAAAAATATGAAAAGGTATACAGTGCAAAGACTTACTCTCAGACCACCCCCATCCAGCCAATCTTCACATAAACACAGCGTATAAAAACTTTTATTAGCTACTTTTTCTTTTTCTTTTTTTTTTTTCCTTCAGGAACAGCTGATCTTAGAATGCCCAGCCACTCGTGTCAAGGTTAGAGCTACTCTTGGCTGGTCCCACATATAGGATGGGACACAAAGGCCAAATGTTGGGATAGTAAGTGTTAGGAGAAGTCTAAGGTGACAGGACAAGCACCTGGTTCCTGCCTGTTACACCACCTAGACCCACTGAGCAAAATGCCGTTCCCTCTCTTTTGGTCTAGACCATTCCACTCCCTTCCACACCTCAGCAGTACCCTGGTGCCCATAATAGTGAGGAACTAGGACCCTTAAAATTCATCTCAGCTCTGTGGATCTTTCCTATTTCTTCCCCCATCCCCACTGCCCCCGGCCCAGGTCTTGCAAGCACAGGAGGCGTTTATACTCTTGCCTTCCGGGCCTTGCCTTCTGAGCCTGGGTTTCTCTCCTGTAGAGGAAAAAACAAACCTGCTCCCAGCATTACCACCTGAAACAGTGAAAATTAACTCTTGATCAGTCTCATAACATTGGACAGACAATAGCAAGATGTGCTTTTTGATTCAAGATGCTAAAACAAAGTAAAAAAATTAGGCGGAAATCACTGGAGAATATAAGGCATTTTCCAGTCTCCTTGCACAACATTGAATGAGTTAATATTAAGATTTCACTGAGTGCAAAACAAAAGTTTTCTTTCCTTGGCACCACAGCAGGACAGACACCCCCATCCTCCCTTAACTTCACATTTAAATGGTGCCACCAGCTGTCTTGCTCCAGACTGTTCTGCACATAGCTGCCAGGATAATCTTTCTCAATATCTGTAACTCCCCATCCTCACTGGGCATTCAACGGGACAGTTTCTTCTTCCCTAAAGCATTGTACTAACATTTGTGTAGCGGCCACCTATTGTTTTTATCTGCATGGGGTCTTTTCCTTTGAGAAGTTGCCTGTCCTTCACTCCACATGTTCCAGGAGGGCTGCTAGAAAAGGCAAAGGGTATGTTCAGTCCTTACTGAGAGTTAGACTTTTGAGTAAGGTACACTAGGTTAAAAGGCCACTGGGGCAGATCCCCCGGATGGCCAGGCCGTGGAGACTAAGTCCCCCAGCTCTGCTGCTGAGATCCGAGAGGTGCCCCTGTCCCTGTGCATCTCATGGCCTGCTTCTTTAGCTCTGTCCTCAATTCTGTGGGCTACTCACTATCGCCAATTGCATTAGTTTCCTAGAGTAGCCGTAACAAATACCCATAAAGTGAGTGGCTTAAATATTTATTCTGGAGGCTAGAAGTCTGAAATCAAGATGTTGGCAGGGCTATGGGCTCTAGGGAAGAATCCCTCCTTGCCTCTTCCAGTGGTTCCCTGGTGTTCCTTGGCTTGTAGCTGCATCATTCCAATCTCTGCCTCCATCAGCACATGGCTTTCTTCCCTGCCTATCTGTGTCCAACCCTTCCTCTCCTTTCTCTTATAAAAACACCAGCCATTGGATTTAGGGCCCACCAATCCAGTATGACCTCATCTTAACTAATTATATCTATAAAGACCCTATTTCCAAACAAAGCCACATTCTGAGGTTCCAGGTAGACATGAATTTGGGGGGACATTATTCAACCCATTATGCCAGTAAACCTTCTTTTGAGGCTAATAAATATAGTTTTAGTGTAGAAGTGACCTTTCCTCCCTCATACCCCTGTTGTACCTGGTTCTTCTATCACATCGTCTATTTATTAACATGTGTGTTCTCTCTTTCTAGACTACTGGCCCACTGATAATGTCAGGGACTGTATTGTGTACATCCTTTGGCACAGAGTGTATCTCAAACTGATACTTACATATGTTTGACTAAGCAAGGGCAAATTAATGTGCTCTATTCAAAAAGAAAGTATTTATGAAACCTATGCTATGTAACTCAGATACCCATGAGCCAGGAGATGTAAGGAAGATAAAAAGGAGGAAGCTATAGTTCTTTGACAAAGAAGTCAGGCTTCACATTGTTATTGGATTTTAATCTGTTGGAGTCTCTATTTCACTTTCACATGTTAAGAAAAATTTTCCAAAACTTGAAAAGGGGAAAAAATACTCTATGCTCTTTCAATGCTGTACTCCAGCACTAATAAATCCTTTAAAGAGTAATCTGATGTTCTAGGGCTGCCCTGTCCAATGTGGCTATTTAAATTTTAATTTTAATTAATGAAATAAAAAATTCAGTTCTCTAGGTTGCCCAGCTACCTTTCAAGTACTCAATAACCACATGTGGCTAGCAAAGACAATATTGAACTGCACAACAGAGACCATATCCATCATCCCAGAGAGTTGTATTGGATAGTACTGCTCTAGGGAAATGGAACTTTATGTATCTGCCATTTATTAGGGTTCAGATTCTGAAAAGTTCGTTCTTGAGGTAGGCAGTCTCTAGAAGCTGGAAAAGACTGAAATGAATTCTCCCCTAGAGTGCTCAGAAGGAATACAGCCCTTCTCACACTTTGATTTTAACCCAGGACACTTTGGTTTCAGCCTATGTGACTCATTTTGGAATCTGACCTCCAGAACTATAAGATAATAAATCAGTGTTGTTTTAAGCCACCAAGTTTGTGGTAATTTGTTATGGCAGCAGGAAACTAATACCAGTATTAATTTGTAGGGCATTGACAAGTTGCAAATGATTTTTGTATGGTTTAAAAAACAATCCCAAAGGTGTCAGTTTTATTGCCCTGTAGGACATTAACCAGTTTTGTTTTGGTTTTTAGGTTTTGGGTTTGGGGCCTAATTCTGTAAACTTATTCTGATATTCTTTTTCCATAATGGTTTCTTATGTCTTCTTTTGAGCTTGTGTTATCATCTTGACTCCCTCATTGACTATATCTTTGGCCTTGCTCATGACATATTGTATCAGAGTCGTGGTTTAATATTTTTAAAGTTAGATGCTCACAGGAAGCTAGCAAGGAAAAACAGACAGGACTCAGATTTTTCTATGTCAGAAGAGCTTACATAATTTATATAATGATGAATCTGATGAACACAGTACATTTACAATTTAATAGAATAAACTTCATATCCTACAACAAATATAACTTATTAACTAAATGTAACCTGTAGACGATTATATTCCAGGGAGAAGATATAAGGAACTTTATCTTAATTTTGAACAAATAGCCCAATGTAATTAACATTAAACTTATAACTAAGGACAAATTTCTTCTGTTTTAAAGAAAATACAACAAAAGCAGAGCCTTTGACATTTTAAATAAGACCTTTTCCCACCTGTTTGGTTTCTTAGTTCATGTGCTCAAGAAATTTCTGGAATATAAATGTTGTCCAAGGCTTATCCAAACCTACAACACATTGAAAATGCAAAGTACTTGATTTTATCTTCTCTGGATCTTTCAAACACCACTGTGACAATAGTTTATATTTTTAACCAAGGACTAAATGAATCAAAGTTTAGGAGTTTATTTCAACTTTCAATTCTCAAGTTGTTCACATCCATAAATATTGAGGAGATTTGATGTATATACAAAAAAAAAAAAAAGACCTCTTTACCTGGGTTCTAAAATTCTTCATGCAAATTATGTATTTAAAAATGTGAGTTGAATTGAAAGTAATAGATGTAAAGAACTGATGGAGAATTTCACGTTAGCACTTCCTATCACAAGTCGCCTTGTGCTGAGAACCTCTGCTGTGGGCAAGCCTTATTATGTATAATGTCCTCTGAGGGTATAACTTCCAGCACTGGTCGGATTCTGAAAAATTAAGCTATATTATAAAAGAAGACTATTTTTACTCCCAGAAAGACCTGGGAAATTCTTCCAGACAGTTTTAATACTGCATTATAAAGGTGGAACCTGAAATGCACCATAAGTAAAAGGTTCTACTTTTTTTTCATCAAATAAATTGACACTAAATTTACTTAATGGTAGTCCATGGCCTTCTTTTGGAAGAATAATCATCATCAGTTATATTATACTTAACTTATTTTGAAAGTAAAACAATCCCACTTACTGCTACTGCTGCTGCTACTACTGCAACTATGACTGATAATAATAATAATAATAATACAGCAGTACTAAGTTCTATTTAGTTTAGTTGCTTTTTCATATATAACTTTATATCACACAGAGACTCCTAAAAAGTGAAAATTGAATTCATAAAGACATCAAAGAAAGATGGTCACCTTTATATACCAAGCAACAGTTCAACATATATTTGAGATAATTTTCTAACACAGAGATGTTTAGATCTGGGTCATCAGTAAGATTTCTTGTTCTTTAGTTGCAGTTTAATACTATGAGATATGAATTAATAAGCAATAAATAGTCCTAAATAATGCTGTAGCTAATAATATGACATGACAGTTAACTTTGTTGGTTTTGGTTTTTTTTTTTAATGACTGCCTTAAATATTATATAACTTAGAATGTAGATATTATGGTCATCCAAAATATTACTTACTTGGCAAGTCACCTCAAAATATTTTCTAAATAAACACTTTCCAGGAATAAAGAGTTTTCATCTTAACCCACCATGAGAAAGATAGAATGCTAATTTTCTTGAATCCCTAAGTTTCAAAAATCTAAATAATAGAGTGTGTTTGTTTAAAAGGAGAGAAATAATCCTCTTAA